GGGTTTACGCCGAATAAAGCCAATCCAATTCAATCCAATCCAAGGTTAAGTTAATACAAGGAAAAAATTTTGAATGCATTAATCTACATTAAGTATAATAATTTCCTCTAGTTTATAGATAAAGCACTATACTAATTGCTTTACAAGTCAATCACCATTTTTAGTTAGTTTCGTAATTTATAATCAAACCATTGTAGCAGTGATTGGTTGTGATAACAAAAAAATATTTGACTGTAATGCCCCTTTCAGACAGACCTACAAAACGGTATTAATACCGTATTACTCGAACACCGGCGTTCTTTGTGAAAGGGTAAATACGCCTAAACGCCGGCTTCAGTTAGACCTCCTCGGGACCTAGTCTTAATACTGCATTAATACCGTAGCGAGTTTTTCCCAACTCGATGTGAAGGGTATAGGGTTCATCGCCGTCTTACGCACTGAGGCATAGCAAATCAGACGGTCACACGAGCAGCCATCAACCGCTGCTGCAGCCGATGAAATCGCTAGGTGAGGGTTCTTTTAGACACGAAAATTGCCTGCACCTAACTGTTCGAAATTCAAGCCAGCCTCGCCTTAAACACTTCCTAAATTCTTTCTTCCCTTGAACGAAATGCATTAGAAACCTTCTGTTTCTCAATTTATATGTATTGCAAACATAGCAAGCATTAAAAAACATTTGCAAAGCAGCAGTTTTATGACTTCATCCCTGGCCATATTGGATTAATGGAGTAAACAAAAACTTGCGCCCTCTTTGTTAACAAGCACAAGCGCCACAGACATCAAATACTCCTTGCCGCGAGAACCCTTTCAGACAAGATACGGTATTATTACCATATTTTAACTAGCTGTGTGAAAGGGTCTGCGCCGGCAATAACTGTGGCGTGATTAAGGTATTATTGTGGTATTTTCTGTCTGAAAGGGGCTTAATTTGTGTGAAGAACGTACAGAACTTAAATAATAGTATCATTCAAAGTAATGTGTAAATCAGGCTTACAAATTACATACCTGTTAATGTTACTACCACAGCAGTGAATGCATTTACTGCTTTGTAGAATCGACGTCCACCTAAGCCCATGCCAGCTATGGATCGTGCTGTACTTGTAGCCAGCATTTCCGCTATTATTCCCTCAACTATGGATACCTTAAGAGGGTTATCGCATGACACATCAAGAATCTCGACTTGGGTGGTGTGTAGTTCGGTTGGCGCCAAGAACTTCCATACTAGGATTACGTAACGGTATGCCAGAAGCCCACCAATAACTTGCAAAGCTATCTTCAAAATACCTTCGATGATAGAACATTGTCTTTTGATCATCGTTTCAAAAACTCTGGCTGGATTTCCAGATGCATCAAATGTTAGGCTATAAGCAAATATGAGAACAAACAGGACCACTGAATACACACCGATATTGTAGCCAGAAAAGATGATGCTATTCTCATATACACAGGCTACCAACTGAAACGTGCATAGTGATTCTGCAATGTACTGGTAGATATTTCGTGGAAGACATGACCGCAACACCTTACGTAAGAGATACGAAATGATGAAGATCCCAATAAATGAGGCAACTGATATCGCAATGGCCATCTTGTTTCTATTTTACAGCTTGTGTTGCATACTTCTGCTATTCAAATCTGTTGTGGAAAGAAAAATAAAAATTTATTATGAATGGTGAGTGGGTAATTTGACGGTTAATTATGTTTTGGTTGCTATGGTTTTTGTGACGATCAAGGTGCGTTAATCTCAGTCAAGCGTGTAGGGGTGTGCGAGAACTATGATCTTTGATGTCCCAAGATGTACGTCCTGTTGTTAATTGCCTTGATTATACGTGTTCCCCATGCGAATATAATACTACTGTACTACTACTAGTTTCAATGCTCTATTTTCTGTTTCTCTAGTTTTAATTTTTTTTTTTATTTGATCCACTCAAAAGCAAAATGAGTGGATTTAAGTCAACTCGGCTCTTCAATAATTCGGACTATACAGACTCGGCCCTTCACTAACTTGGACCATACAGACTCGGCCCTTCACTAACTCGGACCACACAGACTCGGCCCATACTGACTCGGCCCTTCACCAACTCAGCCCATGAACAAACTCGGCTCTTCGTTAACTTGGCCCTTAGCCAACTCGGCCCATATAATCAACTCGGCCCATAGACCAATACTTTATGGGAAAAATTATTGTAAATTCTTTTCCAATATATTGTTTAAATATTGAAAATTTTTAAGCTCGCATACAATTTGGCTTTCAGGCCACGATTTGTGACAAGGGTAATAAAAAAAAAGCAGCAGCCCAGGGCTTCTTTTTGAGGTTTTACTGTGATTTGAAGGCAAATGCGGGCTTGGTCCCAGTGGATCCTATTGAAAGGAGGAATTCTGACGGTGAAACAGGCGAGTTGGTTAAGGGTCGAATTGACAAAGGCTGATTTGGTGTATGGGCCGAGTCGGTTATGGGCCGAGTTGGTGTATGGGCCGGGTTGGTCAAGGGCCGAGTCCCAGGCTGATAGGCCTGTGCAGGGATTTATCCTCCGTGAAAAAAATTTGGCCCAGAAATCCGTCCGCGCATTCAGAAAATAAGGGCAGATTTCCATACAGATTTTGCTGAAAATTAGGCTTTGAACAAATCTTAATATATAACCAATGCACCGATTAGGATTCTGCACACCTATTTTCCTAGCGATTTTCCACACAATTTGAGCTGAATTTTTCGATATCCTCCGTGAAATTAAAATACGGGCCGAGTTGGTACGGTCCAAGTTGGCTAAGGGCCGAGTTGACTTGCTTTCGAATTTTCAAAATTAGTAATATCAATAGGCCTAATGCCATGGAGCAAGCCAAACATTCAGCCAGGCTTAAATTCAAGGCCTGTCACAGGCATAATAACGTGTGTATCACTATGCCTAGTCTCAGCAGGGTAGGCCTAACGAATATACTAGTAGGCCTACTACTGTCTAGGCGTAGCCCAAGACCGATAGTAAGGATAGCCCAGGACTTTGGTAGAGTACAGGGGATAGGCCTAGGCCTATATTTATTATGAGAGCATGGCCTGAGGATGAGGTCTAATTCTTTCTACCTACTACTACGACGACACTTTGCATACGCCTAGGTATATAAACAGTGGCGGCTCTAGGATATATTTTCTGGGGGGGCTAAGTTGTCCAACAGGGGGACTTGAGCTCGTAGGCTCGAGCTGAGAGAAGGGGTTGAGAGGGCCTACGCCCTCCTAAATGAAATTTTTTCAAAGAATATCAACCTCTAGATGGCGGAAAATGGCACTCTCAGACTGGTACGTGACAGACATGTTGGCTTGGTATGGGCCTATTTTTATATGTTTTATGGTCTGACCAGGGAGTTGTTATTTAGAAATAAAAAAATAACAACTCCCTGGTCTGACTGCCCGACGAGCTCTGTCCGGCGGGGGAGCTTGACCTGTCCGGTGGGGGGAGGGGCGCCGCCACTGTATATAAAGTGTATGCGACAAAAAGGAACGAACATCAAAACATTCAAAAGAAAGTAAAAAAAAGTGGAAGGAGAGGTCTAGGCCAATCGCTAGCCCTCTACGTAGTCACTACTAACTACGGGCCGACTTAAGTGGTTACTAAGCCTAGGCATAGCCTGCCTCTTACTCTTAGTTATTTAGCGTTCGCTAGGCCTACCCACATAGACAGGCTACAAAAGAGGTTACGGAATACGAGGTATAAGATAGACAGGTATTTAAAATACATTAATAGTACTATAATACTTGCGTATTGAAAATGGTAGCGACCAAGGCAATAAAGAATTAAATCACCTCTGCTGTAAAATCATTCATTTATTCGTTTCACCACCACCGGCGACCATCCAGATTTTACGTCACGTGCTTACTTACACGTCAACATCAAGTTCACACTACCCGTCAACATCAAGTTCACACTACCCTGGATCGATCAGCAGGTGGTATTAATTGCCGTAGCCAGGATTTTCAAACAGTGTGGGAAAATATCAGGGTGGACCATGTTTACGCAAAAATATAAAAAACCTGGACCCATTTTCTTTAATTTTGTCCATTTAATTTAGGCTAATGAGAAATCTGGACCCATTTTTCAAAATGTGAACCCATTTTATGCATAGAATTACATAATTTGGACCAATTTTTAAAATATGGACCCATTCTTTGTGGACCCATTAGAAAAATTGTGTGGGACTTTCCCAACTGTCCCAATAGCTGGCTACAGGCATTGGGTGGTATCCCCCATGGTATAGGCTAACTAGTAGTCCAGGGGCCAGGAACCGAAAAGGTGCACCCCGTCCATTTTGGCGGCCATCTTGGAAAAAACCACTTTCCAGTGGTCGGATTTTATAAGACTTTTTTCATGTTATTTAGCACACTCAATACTACCAAAATCCGTTGAAAAACCTTTTGTTGCAATTTTTTGGGGGTTAAACCTTATTTCTACTGTACTACTACGCAGATGACTAGTTATCAACTAGCTTAACAGTGACCGGGCTTCAGAATGCCATGATTGCGTTGTATCTTATGGTCTTCATTTTAATCCCACGAAAACGTCATGTAGGCCTATAATCTTTGGAAAACAAAAAATTACCAAAAAAAAAAACCAAAAAAAAAAAAAACAGAATGGACTCTAAATAACTGTTCATTGAAAATTTCCAATTCTGTTACTTATCTTGGGATTAAACACTAAAAGTAATTAAAAAGGCAAGCCACACACTGACGAACGTATGAGTAAATGTCAAAAGCGTTCTTTTCACTACAAAGTGCAGTATGTAACATGGATCGAGTATCGAAGTTAAGCTTCATGTGTGGAACAGTGCAAGACGGCATTGAGTATCCCTAAATATTGTAGATCAACACCATTGCTGCATGCTCTAAATCTACCTAAAATCAAAGATATTACCGATATTGATCTCTTGTCACAAATGCTTGTTAATGATTCCAGTTCTAGGGTAGTTTATTGCCATTTTTTTAATAGCGAAGCAAAGAATAGTATGTCGTATAGAAGTACAGTACTCTCATTGACAGAATCAAGGGTAATATCGATAGAATTGTATCCTTTGTTTCTGTTATATTTTTAGTAATGTATACAAGAAACATTTAAAGGCTGATATAAAGACCCACAATTGCATAAACCATGGAACCTGTGACTATAAAAAATTGCTTATGCAATAACGGTATTCATACAATCATTAATTTAACAAGACCATTTTAAATTTCCGCACTTATGATTTTTGTATTATGGATGTTAGTTCCTTTTGATTTGTGTTGTGAATTTTTATTGTATTTTATATATTTTTACCTTCCCCAGCCTGGGGGTATTTGTTGAATATATTGAAATTGAAATTAAAATTGAACAATTAATGGTATTGACAATAATAATGATAAGAATAAAATTGTATATATTTAGTTTTTAGCGTTTTGAATGTGAATTTATAGGTTAATTTTGCCTGAGATTTTGTGAATTCGGTGACATTTTATTTTCAAAATAATTAAATAACTAGACTGGGGGTGGTGTGGGGGGTGGCGAGCAACCCCTGATACGCCAGCCTACACGATTAATGCATTTTTTTTTATGAACACATTTTATAACAACACCGAGGCTGAAATTGCTTATAAAAACAAAATTAGAACAATTTGAGACTGAGTTAAAATGTTAAATGAGATTTGTATTTAAAAAAGTAGGAAAAAAATCATACTAGTCACATACTGGAACAAGCATCCAAGATTAAAGGATCCTCTGCTATGCCATATAATGTTTTATTGTCAATGCTTTTTAATTTATAAAGGCCTAATTTGTTTTTAATGTACACTTGTATTTTGTTTATATGGATAGCAATAACTACTACAAGCAAACAAACAGTAAAGTATTAGGCTAATGTTTAAATATTATAGGTTATAGGTCTACGTAATCTTATTTTGATCTTGTCTGTGCCTTGCAGAAGGTGTGACTATGAAATACCCTCTATAATACAGTACAGGAATACATTGCTATACAATACTAATTTTCTATCTTTGAAGTATAAATAACAAAATAAGTTTTGACCCTGAAAACGGCAAAAATAAAAAATAATTTAAAAAAAAAATGTCAAGCCTAGGCAAAATTTTACTGGTCCTTTATATAAAACAAAGTGTAGGCCCACTAGACAAAAAATAGACCTCCTCCTATACACCCCAGTAATGATTTTACTGGTTCTTCATATAAAAAGAAGTGTAGGCCCTACTGACAAAAAAAGAGACCTCCCTATACCACCCCAATAAATGTGTTTTTTCGTAACGTCGGTGTTCGTATGATTGTTTCCTCAGGTCAGGTACGGTAGTGGTTAGTAGGGAACTTTGTGGGGGTCTTACATCACCTTCCCGACCTAACATCATGTAAGATTTTAGATTTTTATGATGTACACACTCTGTGAAAAAAAATTGGTCCATGTACTATAGGTTTGAAGTTTGGAGGGTTTTTCAAGGGGACTGGGGTCAGACCCGACCCACGGAGGTAGCTCACATTCCGTACTTTTATAATTACTGTGACTGTGATGGCCAAGAACATGAAAGGATCAAACCCTCTAGGGAAAAATGGGGTGAAATTTCTGTTGTGAGCTCTCGGACTAGACACTGTGCATCTTAAACTGCAGTGTGGTGGACTTTTCTTATCATTCTTAAAAATATTGCTACCCCTCTTTACTCCTACGTTTGGAATCATTTGGAAGTCCCAACTAGAACTAGAAATTTCCCTTAGGCCTAAAGGAAAGTTACGAGCAAATCCACGCATCGAACGCTTTGAGAAATTCTGAAGAACCTTGTTCAGCAAATGACAAGAGAGATAATGATTACCATATTTAGAAAATTATTTCTATTGATCTAATATGGTGTCATTAGAAAACATAAAACTCGACTTTAATATGATTATCAGCAATAGTGGCAAACTCTAAATATATAAGCCAGAGGTTGCTTTCCTATCGATTCTTTAAATATTTATTGTTCAATCAAGCAAACGTTTCGTTCATTTATTGTTCAATCAAGCAAACGTATCGTAACCTTCAATTACAACAATGACCTAAATAGCTGTAAAATGAGACAATGTTTGTTTACTTATTTAAATAAACCGTATTCTATGATACTTATCGAAAGAGCACCATCGTTTGGATCCATTAACTATGATCTCCGTGGGATATATGCTGGATGTATACAAAAAGAAGATGGATACATTGCCAATCGAACCATGAGATTAGATTGCCATGATTCGAGATTCGTTGTGAATTTTTAACGTTTATAAAATTAAAAACTGAGATTCTGATTCTGCAATTGCATTTTGTGTGTTGGCCTTTGCTTTGTCCGAAATCAATAAATAAATATAAAAAATATAGCGTTAAGACACTTCAGAAAATTAGAAGTAATCTGTTTTTATCCTTTCCAATGGAAAAGCAGAGCGTACTCTTTTTCCCCTCCCTCCCCCAAAATAGTACACAATAAATGAAGTATTTTTTTTTCATTTTGATAAACGACTTACGTTCAAATGGTCAGCCAGCAATACAATTAAATAAGGCGAATTACTATATTTTGTTTTGTCAGTATCCTTGAATATGTTTTCGAATAGGCCTATAGATAGTCATGCTTGTTACAGAATCTGTCTCTTATACACATCTAGATGTGTATAAGAGACAGTTACTATCATGGGCCCTCAATAATGGCATGGGTCTCCTAATAAGGGGCCCTCTCCTCCACCTCCAAAATAAAAATCGTGCGCCGTCAGTGCAATCTTCTCGCGCATCGCGCCCTTGACTGGTGCCCACACCAACTCTTTCCCCTGTTATAGTTTCTCCTCTTGGCGGCCCTGTTCTCATGGGCATGTGATGTTTAACGAATGTAACAACGTTCATGAATAAAATGGAGGATGGCTGGTACTATAGATCAAAATAATAAGCCTGTTTTTCAATATTCTACACTAAGTCCTCGCGGACGACGGTATTATCTAGCTATCATGGTCCAGATTGACCGAAGGGTATAAATCGACATAGCAATACACATAGCTGGAATTTTAAACGGAGATTCTTCAGTGTGTCTATTACATATCACCATAACTAATACTGCACTTTTAATGTTGACAAATCGTATAGCCTATTATGGAATTAAATCCAGGTTCATAGAATGGCAGAATGACCGAAAGTAATCATCAACCAACCCAGTAGTAGCATGCAGGTATACCTCCATGGTAGGAGTAACAAGCTGCGGTCGATCATTTATAAAATTTGATTTTATAAAACAATGCAAAGGATTACGAATAGCCCATTACCATATCAACATTAACATTTTAACTAATAAAATCGACCAACTTCGCTTGATAGCCTGATACTTCATCGAACACGGTTCCATGTACTTGAATCGAAGTTTTTAGAGAAGTCTTTGATAATACACCTTTCTGCGGCATGACAGAAACAGAAATGGAAGTGCAATGACAATACCACGTGCGTCGTTGCAAACACCCTCTTTTAATTACCCCAATTATTCCCCCTCTGTAAAAATCTAGTCTAGTATGTAAAAAAATTACAATTGGGCAATAAATATTTATTTATATATAATTTGACTATACATGCTGTATTCATCGTCATAAGTGATCATTATTCAGGGCCTAAAACTTCAACTCCGAAATAACAGGAATGGTTCCGAGGAGGGGTTATTTACTTCTAGAGACTTTGGAACTCTTTACCATCGCATTTACCATCGCGTTACTCCATGCTGAGCATGGATAGCTGTTCTATAGCTGGGTACTACTGTACATTCCAGATAAAAAAAAAAACCTCTGTCTTTAGGTCTCCGCCTTTTGGCCTTTTTACATCCTGATTGATGCATCGGGGATTGGCGTTGTCTTCGTTGACAATCTAGAAAATTCAAAATTAGTGGTAAAA